CAATGTAAGGAAGAGACTCCAAGGGACTGTGACGACCAAGAAGCTCTACCTAGAATCTTCGCGATCAACAAGCTAACTTTGCCGGGTCCGATATATCCAATACCTGGCTCTGCACAAAATATGCAGACGTATAGTATGAGTATAACATGGTCAGTACCCAGTAAGTATTAAGACTAACCTCGGTAGAGTAGTGACGAGGTACAGTCAAGACACTCACTAGACAAAATAACCTGTGCAGTAGAGAAGTATAAAGCTAATAATGGAAAGTAGGAATCAGTAAATGGCATCAAGAATCAACAAGTGATATAAACAGTAAAGCAATAAGAACACCGTATAGTATTATTCAAACCAACTAAGGAACACAAAGGCAAATCAATTAATCAAGTTGTTCTCTACAAGTTTCACTACAAAATCACTCTGTGATACTTTATCTCATAGTCACAAGTCACGGGTCTCAACCCACCATCACATAATCACGGCACCTTGTGCACACATCTCGAATCACAACCGTAAGGACAAGTCACGTGCCAAAATCACAATTTGCCTGGCATAGTCATAGGCTCACACTTACAATCCGCCCGGTATAGTCACATGCTCATAATCACAATCCACTTGGCATAGTCACAGGCTCACAATTACAATCCGCACGGTATGATAACAGGCTCAATAGCAACATGAAAATGGATAATACAAGAACATATGGGCATGATCAATAAATGTCAAATTTCATGCTCCTGAGCTAGTATAAGTGGCATGCTATGGTGTATGTTTGTGTGAGTGTACTACTGCAGCCCAAGTCAACAAGTAATATTAAAGAAAACGAATAGCTCATTGAAACAACAAAGCAAGTCGCGCAAGGTGTATGACAAACACAAGGAAAAGCACACCATCACATGAAAATCACCAACACAATGTCTCCAAACCATCGCACATTATCCCTGACATTGCCACCCTTATCTCTCCGATAGCCACCTGTATCACTCTGCCTTGACATTATCATTAGCCATCATTATCTCCCCTATAGACATCTTTATCTCTCTGACCCGTATCACTCCGCCCTGATATTATCATTAGCCACCCTTATATCTCCTATAGCCACATGTATCACATTGTATAATAGCCATCATTATCGCTCCGGCCGGACAATAACACAATAGCCACCCGTATCACTACGTACATTCAACAACAGTGAGATGTCACTTGTACGCCCCACATAACAATAATGGTGAAATATCACCCTTACACTCTGAATAACAACAATGGTGAAATGCCACCCTTATACTCTGCATAACAACAACCAAACCATACAACAAAGCACATGTGCTATCATCACAACAACACAACATATCAACTCATATCACAAGTGCCCATAGGCCACAATCTTTCCAAAGATTCAACGATATCAATATATTCACAACAAATAACCCACGTCTTAACACAACGCATATGGAATCTCAATAACAACAAAAAGAACGAAAATGTAACTCAACAAGGAACAACACCCCCTTTAAACATCACTTCAATTAAAATAGGTTAATAATTCTCGATAACCTCAGTTCCAATTAATTATTTAAGGATAATCTCAATAGTGAAATTATATCCATGGAATGGAAAACTTCGGATTCTAGTGTATGAATTAAGCTAACACTGAAAGGGATGACACGAGCTAGCACTACGTCTAAAGGCATAAGAATAAACTGGCAACAAGGGATATCAAGTAACAATAATCTCAATAAAAAGAAACTCAACAATAAAACAGATCACGTAATGGTAAAAGTGGTAACAACTCCAAATAAAGCATATAAGAGTAAACTAGACAAGTAAAGAATGTGACATGTAACGACAATCCCAAATAACTCATGTAATAGAAGACATGACGGATAGAAGATATAACATGTGCTAACAAATTTCAAATAAGTACATGAAAGAAGCTTAAGAGTCTAGACTGGTCAATTTCCATATATAAGCCTGAGTACGTACTCATCACCTCGCGTACACGGCTTTCACATGACACAAATAGCATAAAAGACTTAAATACTAAGGGGTAGTTCCCCCACATAAAGTAGGAAAGATACTTACCTCAAAGAAGCTAGATTGATACTCTAAAATGACATTCTCGAGTGAAACAATCTCCGAACGGCTCAAATCTAGCCAAAATAACTTAATATCATAAATGAAAACCATAGGAAACAATTCTGGATAATAAAGCTTCGATCTTTAATGAAAACTAAAAGTCAACCCCGGGCTCATACCTTGGAACCCGACAAAATTTACAAAATCCAAACACCCATCCCGATACGAGTCCAATCATACCAAAATTATCAAATTCCGACATCAAATTATCCTTTAAATCATCATTTTACATTTTTTGAAAGTTTATACAAAAATTCTCATTTTCTCTCATTCAAATCACTTACTTAATGTTAAAAACAAAGATGAAATTACGAAATATAATCAAATCCGTATAAAGAACACTAATGTGTGAAAATATGCTAAACAAATCGCCCAAATCTGAGGTCTACAACTCAAGATATGATAGAAATGGGCAAACCATTGTAATAGAGTTCTTTATATTTCTTCCCAGGTAATATGCATTGCAATCGCGAAAATTCGTATACGATCGCGAAGAAGAAAATCATCAGCTGCAAAGGATGTGCTACACAAATGCGAAAAGGGAGATGCGAATGCGATAAACCAAATCCCTAAAGCTACGCGGGCATGATAACACTCCGCGAACGCGAAGGCTACATTTATAGCCTCCCCAGCCTTCTCACTCACAACGCAATCGCGACCAGAATATGCGAACGCGATGAGGTAGCTTCCCAAAGGAACACGATCGCGACCTCTTCACTGCGAATGTGAAGAAGAAAATTTTCCAACCTCGTGATCGTGTATAAGGGAACACTAGATATCGGATCAGCAATCAAAAATATGAGGAAAAGGCCCGTAGCCCATCCGAAACACACCTGGGCCTCCGGAACCCCGTCCGATAATGCCAATAAGTTTCATAACACAATTCAGACATGCTCGAGCCTCAAATAACATCAAACAACATCAAAAGCATGAATCGCACCTCAATCAAACTTAATGAACTTATGAACTTTCAACTTTAACAACTTTACGTCGAATCATATCAAATCAACCCGGAATGACGTCAAATTTTGTATGCAAGTTCTAAATGACACAATGAAGCTATACCAACTCTCAAAATCAAAATTCAAACCCGATATCAATAAAGTCAGCTCCAGGTCAAACCTCTCAACCTTCCAATTTTCACCAAAATACATCAAATTAACCTACGAACCTCCAAATCCAAATCCGAGCGAACACCTAAGTCCAAAATCACCATACAAGCAATTGGAATCATCAAAACAATATTCTGGAGTCGTCTATACAAAAGTCAAACTCCAGTCAACTCTCATTGGTTAAACTTCAAAAACAAGATCACCCTTCTAAATTATCCGAAAACTGAACTCAACCATACATGCAACCATACGGAGCTACTCGAGACCTTAAGCCACCAAACGGAAAGCTAATTCTCAAAATGATCGATCGGATCGTTACAGTTACATACTAGCCTAGACAAAGATATAGGAGGTGTTATTCCTTTTTTTCATTTATTATTTATTTTTTCACTCTTATTAATTTGGTATTTTCGGCTAGTACCTTTTTTTGTTTATACACAAGTGCACCTTTTTGGCTTTTCTATGGTTCCACTCAAAAGCTACGTAGTCTCTTTCTTTACTGTTCTAGCTACTTAAGTGCTTTCAGAGGTAAAGGTTCAACAAGATTTGATTAAGAGAAAATGGGATTCAGCTTATAATGTGGTTGCCAAAGAAAATGTCTACAGGCTCAAAAGGGTTGACTACGAATAATATTAGCACTAGTAGGCAAATATGCTAAATGGTCAATCAAAGAAAGCCTATATCACTTCCCAAACTTGTAAGACTTAATCATTTTGCTTCAACTCACACATGGGGCAAGTTCTAAACTAGCAAGGACGACACATAGTACACCAAGATCCCACCTCACACAATGCACATGACCCACTCAGAAAGACTTGGACTTGACTCTCTAATTAAAGTAACTAGTACAGTCATCATAAAATTTCAGGACACGGAATTAATCACACGAGTCAAAAAAATGAGCCTCGATGTCAAAAGAAAGTCACACATATTGTCAAGGCATGTAATTATAGAGATCATGAAGAAAGTACTTAGTTCAAATGCTCCGCACCTAAGCATCGATATAAAACATGTCAAAAGCACAAATTACTCATGCTTCTTCCAATTCCATTGTCAGTTTAACCAAAAAACAAAATAAAAGAGAGAAATAATCGTTTTCTATTTTTCTTTAGACTTTTAGTCCCTTACGAAAAATGTCTAGGTAGTCCATCGTCGGGAAAAGTCCACAAATTTTTTACAAAGTTTTAAAATCTACCTAAAAATACTCGATTCAAGAAAATGGCATTCTCGGTAAAGAACCGTAGTTTTAATAAAAAAATCCGGGATTAAGCCACTACTAAAAAATTACTGTAATTATACAATTACAATGGCCATAAGTGTGATCATGCAATTCAAAATGTATCACTAAAAATTAAGCACATGCCACAAGAATTAAAGTCTGACACCCCCACCCCACAGTGAAGAGTGTGCACTATCCTTAGTTGTACAATATCACAAAAATACAAATAAGCAAGATCAAAAGTAGAGTGGATGTCAGAAACTCCCTCAAAATTACTCGGGTCGTGGTGAGGACCAATAGAACCTCGATCACAGCGGCTAGTCCTAGATCCTCTGCAATAGTGCCTTTAATAAAACACTTAAATCAACTGTCTGGAGCCAGAGGCGTATCCAGGATTTCAAGAGAATGGGTGCACCATTAAATTTTTATAGACATTGGTATGATATAGGAACAACAAGTATAATTTTACAATGACAATAAGTTCATGAGAAAACTATAATTAATATTATAGTCACACAAAAAAAACATCATTCACTTTACAATTGTTCTCGACGAGTTTTCATACTTTGAAAACGGTTAATAATAGCATCATTACTTACAGTCTCAAATATTCCACGCTTTATATAGCAAACTAAACAATTGTTTAAAAAATCTTCATCCATCCTATTGCGTAGATCATTTTTGATGTACTTCATCGATGAGAATGCTCTTTCCACACTTGCGGTAGCAACAGGTATAATCAAAGTAAACTTCACAAGTAAATATACATGTGTCCAAGTCTGATCAACTTTTGTCTCAACCATAACTCTAGCAAGATCTTTAATTCCTTTCAAGTTAAGAAACTTTCTATCACACTTTTGAGCATAGACAATGAAGCTATCGAGTTGAAAACCAAGTTCCCGAAGCTTGTTTTCATCAAATTCACTTGGATAATACTTGGCCAGTTTCATTATCTTGTTCTTGTCAAAATTTGCAAATGAATCAACCGACTCAAACTAGCCATACCAGGGAGTAAGTCGCTAGTCACTACATCAAAACGGCTATTAAGCTCTTGAAGCTCCAAATCAATAACGGCATAAAATACTTCCACACGAAAGTGATGTAAATAGGAACCTTCGGATCTCTTACGTTTCGACTTTCCAATAACATAGTATTCATCCATGTTGGGAATTGCAATGTCATGTTTACTACAAAATGAGCAAACCTCCTTCATCAAAGAGTCTCATTCCTCTTCTCTCATCTTTTGTAGTCTTTTCTTTGCAAGGTCAAGCATTCCCATAGCACTAACGATATCTTGATCTTTCTTTTGTAGAACTTTGTTCAATATATTAGTCAATAACAAAACCTTAAACATCAAGTTCAACATAAATACAAAAGCAAATTCTTGAATCATGCTCAAAAGATTTTGTGCGGCAAATCTATCAAGATGATATAGACACTCATGTTTCATATCTTTAAGCACATTAACAATTGAAGAAAATAAAACTATGAAATTTTCCAAGGTCTTATAATGAGACCCCCAACGAGTATCACCCGGTCGTTGGAGGCCTCGTTCTTGATTCAAACCTTGTCCTGTAAGAACTTCTCCAACTTTAATCAACTCTTCCAATTTATCCAATTGATGTTGCTGAAGTGAATCCCTGCACTTAAAAGAAGCTCCAATAATATTCAAAACATTAGTGACAACATAAAATAAATTATCCACATCCGAATGCTTTTTAGAAAGAGCTACAAGTGCTAGTTGCAATTGATGAGCAAAACAATGAATAGAATATGCAGACGAAGTATCTTTCAAAATCAAAGATTTGAGGCTATTTTTTTCCCCTTGCATATTACTAGCACCATCATAACCCTGTCCACGTATCTTGGATGGACTTAATGAATGTTTCAAAAGCAAAGAATAAATCTCTTTTTGTAATGGTTGGGAAGATGTGTCACTCACATGTACAATACCCAAGAATCGCTCTATAATCATTCCACTTTTGTTGACATATCTCAAAATTAGAGCCATTTGCTCCTTATGTGAGATGTCTTTTGATTCATCAACTAATATTCCAAAAACATCATCACCCAAGTCTTCGATAATAACTTTAGTTGTTTCTTTAGCACAAGCTTCCACAATCTCTTTTTGAATTGTCGGACAAATCATCATATCATTTTGTGGAGCATGGCGTAATATTACTTTTTTCACATCTGAATGCATATCGCCATGCCATTCCAAAAGTTCAAGAAAAGGGCCTTTATATTCAGAATCTTCACTTTCATCATGTCCACGAAATGGAAATCCCGATCTTAAGAGAAACCTTGCCACATCTATTGAGGCTTTTAAGCGCATACGATAATCACTTTTTACTTTTTCGCTTTGCTTGTCAAAAGAAGAAAGAATCGATTGATGTTGATTTTTCAAATCTTGCATCCTATTAAAACACTTATGATGGATATTGTTCACATCACCAACATGTGCTTTAAGTCTTTCCACGGCTTTGTTCCAACCTCTAAAACCGTCTTTTGTAAATGCATCTCCCCCATTACCACGACTTTCAAGTTCATTCTTGAATAAATAGCAACATAAACAAAATGCAGCATCCACTTTAATGCTATACTCCAACTATTGAGAATATGGTCCTTTGAACCAAGTGGGACAAAATTGACGCATTTTGTTCCCAAACTTAGTTTTAGGAAAGACATGGCCTATCGGTTTACGAGGCCCCATTTGAATATAATATCTCCTCACTTCATCTCGAATATTAGGACCATAACTCGAAATAGGTAATCTTTCTTTGGGATCCACTTCAAGAGATTCCAAATTAAGCTCTAAATGTGGGGAAGGATGTGTTTCCCTTTGAATTTCTGGATTTATTTGTGAACTCGCAGATGGCCGACTAAAACTAGAACTTGGTTGGCCAACATTTAGCTTGATGAGAAATTTATCCATTTCAATGTCAAGATTACCTTTCCTACAAAATAAAATTTTCACAATTCTACTCAAACTGAATCCAAAACAATTATAAAAGTACAAATCAATCACAATCACAAAAATCACAAGTTCACAATTAGAAGAATTACAAGTTACAAGTAGTGGGCAACTATTTGGGAATAAGAAAGTTAATGTCATTTTTTAAGAAGTGCAGCAACAAGCCATAAATAGTTTCAGTACTTTTAAAACAAAAAATTCAAGCAAATATGGATAGGGTAATATTAACAAGAATGACATTACTCTGAGAAGATAAAGAAGTGAAGAGGCAAAGAGAAATACCAATTTTGAAGAGCTGAAGACGAGATTTAAAGCTTGTCGATGCCGATTATAACACTTCTTCCCGTTCTTGTCTGTCAAAATAAATTTTAAACATTCAAATAATCAACAATATTTCAACCCAACTTCAGTACTTCACAAATCAAAGAAAAAAGATAAAGAAACAAAAGAAGCAGTAAGATTGATAAAGAAATTGGAAAAATATGTGACCTTAGTTTGCAAAAAAAATTGGTATTTTGTTGTTGTAAAACACTTGGGGCTAGAGAGTGTTTTCTAGAGAGGTGCTTTTGATTTAGGGATTTTGAAAAGTGACTAAAGAAGGAGTTGTGCACTACTATTAGGTAATATTAAGATGAAAAGAAAAAAAGAATCGTCTCTTCTAAAGGAGCAGAAAACTTTACATGGTGGGCCAGGAGCATGGGATGTACCCAATTTATTAATTATTAAAAAGTGAAATAATGGATAATTTTAAAAGAGGAAACGTGGGGAATCGAACTACTGACCTGGTAAATGGAAGGTGCACTCCTCTACCAGTACACTACAATGCTCACTTGAGGGTGGGTTCACCCATACAAATTTAAGTATTTTATGTTGAAATTTACTATTGCTATATACAGTTTAGGGAGAGGAGGATGGGTTCACGTGACCCACCCCCTCCCAAGTAAATCCGCACCTGTCTGGAGCCCCTCTACATTAGTCTAATGGGCGGCGTTAGGGTGGACAGTGGTGGCGTGATGGTGGAGGGAGGTGTCTGTGCGTGTTTATATTTGAGTGAGTAAAAGAAAGAGAAAGGGTTCAAGAGAGATGATGTGCATGTGTTTTCAGTTGTATCCAGTCCCAGTCACGTGAAGCCATGGGCACTTCGCTGCCCACTCTATTTTTTTCTCTCTTTTGGTCTCGGTCTCGCGAAGCCATGGCCACTTTGCCGCCCATTCTATTTTCTTTCTCTCTTTTCGTCCCAGTCTGGTGAAGTGAATGTCGTTTCATTTCCCAAGACTTTTCTTGTTTCTTCTTCTCTGGTCCTAGTCTGGCGAAGTGAATCTTGCTTTACAATCCGGGACTTTTCTCTTCAGTTCTTTTTTTTCACCAATTTTTCTTCTATTTGCTCATTTTTCGCATAAGTTTGTTCCTACACATAAGAAACATGTAATGAATATATTTTCACTTCAAAAGTGGTGTGAACTCCCTGATAAGTGAGGATTTTGACTATTTATTAGCGCCTTTTAGCTTTTATTTTAGTTTAAAGCATTTAGTTTTGTTCTCGAAACTGATAAAATGTGCAAAATTGCTTGAATGTTGGAAGTTGGACTCCTAATATGAAATTAGACTCAAAAAGGAGTAATCAAAACACATGGCAACAAAAGGCACAAGAACTTGCAAAGTGTGGACCGCAGAATTCCATCTGCGGCCGCAAACAATAAAGGAAAACCTAACAAGCTTCCTAGCAAAATGTGGTCGGTAAAGGAATTGTGCGGCCGCAATTGAAGAATTGGAAATCAACTTCAGAGGGTGTGCAATTTTCCAAAGTCGAAGTCCCTCAAGAGAAGATATGCCTTGCGGCCGCGGAAAGACAGATGCGGTCCGCAGAAAAACAGATTGTGGCCACAGTGATAACTCTGCGGACAGTAGAAACATTGGCTCATGGCCGTAGTGGGGGAATTGTGCAGCTGCAGAATCCCAGCTCCTGCAAGATGTACACTTCTGCAGACTGCACATGGAATTGTGCGGCTGCAGAACATCCCGAATGACTTTTTTGTCCGAAATTTTCAGCCCTGTATAAATAGACAAGTTTCACAAAATTAGGTCAACTTTTGACACCAGGAACTACAATAGCCGTTTTTCTTTGCTTCTTTTAGTAGTCTTTCATATTTTGGAATATTTTAACATAGATTTTATCATTTTGATTTTACAATATGAGTTTAATTAGCATCTCTTCTTCTATTTCTTCAATTTCAAGCATGAGTAGCAAGATTTTTACTAGAGTTGTAACCCAACCCTAGTATGTAAACCTTATGGGTGTTTAATTTAGTGCTTGTTTATGGTTTGGGGTTTATTATTGTCACGTCTCAAACTACCTCCTAGACGTTACTGGCACCCAGATAACACCATCTGCCAGGCGAACCCTTTTCTCTAACGTTTAACCATTTACACACGAACACAGAGAGAAAAAGTGCAGTCCTAAAGTATTATTAATAATTAAAGAGGTAATGATTATCGCCCAATACCTTAGTCAATTGATAGAAAAACCCACAATCACTCAAATAATAAAACTCTAGCCCAAATCCCACGATAAGACCATGGAGCATCTAACAGAGTATTATGAGTCTTATTGACGGGTATGCAAACCTCAAAAAAAGAAATAACTAACACGAACTAAGAAAGTCCGAAACGAAGCCTCCGCGAACAATGCGGTGGCTCACCTCAACAATAGAATCCACTCGAACAAACTCGTCAGCCACTAACTCTATCTCTCGCAACGGTATCTGCATAGCGATGCAGGTAAGGAGTGAGTTATACGTAAATATAACCCATTAATATCCTCGACCCGCCACTCTAAATACCTCTGGAAAAAATGCTAGAAAATACAAACACACTGCAACATGAATGATATAGTAAATATTATAATTATACAATAACTCAATATCATGGCACACAACCGTATCAAACTCAATATCATGACGCATAGCCGTATCAAACCCAATATCATGTCTCACAGCCGAATCAAACTATAAGACTCAACCTCATGGCGCACAGCCATATCACACTATCAAACTTATAAAATAATATTTTTTTCTTAATAAAATAATATATTTGCGGCTAGTCTAAAACCACCGACTCTGCCAAGCGCACGCTTGTCCCAACACATAGACCAGGCAGAGAAAACACACTTTCAAAATGGGTTTTAGAAA